GAGTATTTTAAAATGATAGATCTAGTGTTATCGTTTGATTACATCCAAGAACCGTCATGCATAAATTTTCATAATCAAGAAAATAACAAAAATCCTTTTAATAATCAAGGTCATGCATAAATTTTCATTAATAATATTTTTATATTTTCCACTTCAAAGTGATATATATATATATATATATTTTGAACAGTCAAAGTGATATTTTTAAGCACATTTCTCTTGAAAATACAAATACGAAAAAAAAAAAGGCGATGTATGCAAGGTGAAAATGCAAAAACAAACTGTACACTATAATAAACTAAACAAACTGAAAGCGCATGGTGGTTCATGCCGAGTATCTTCGACGATTTAATTTTGAGGGAAAATAAATACCATAATTCCCCGGTTCTTTTTGGGTTCCTTTCTCAGGAATTCAAATCCCATTGCTCATTCAAACCGTTTGCCACTAGCATCATGACTACGGTTTCTATGAATCGTGCTCTGTTTCATTAGATCTCCATTACCGTCTCCGCATTTCGATTCAGGAAACTCGACTTTCCGGCCTCCGGCACCGGCGATCAGCTGCATTCTCTCACCGGTACTTTTCTTCGTTCTGATTCCTGTTGCTGTTACATGTTATGAACCAACATCGATTGATTGAATGCCACATGAATCCATTTCGTTCGCTTTTCCGTTGTTTTTCATGATTTCGATCGAGTATGAACATTGATTGGGTTCGCTTTTCCCGTAGTTGCGTTTTTGTTTCTTCTGTTGAACTATGTGTTTCTTGAGAGATTTGAGTGTGTAATTCTCTTTTTTGGTAAATGATTTGAATGTGTAATTTTCTTGTTTGGTAAATGGTTTGAGAATGTAATTGTTACGATTGACTATGATGTAATTTTCCTTTTCATGTGCATTTATTTATCCATTCTATTTTGATTGAATGAATTTTGTAACTAGATTAGGATTTTGTTTGGCAACTTCGAATTGGATGCATAAAAGCTGAAATTCCTGATCTTCTTTATTTTATCTTGCTCGTTTCAGATTCTTGTGTAATGTTGGGCTACTGATTTATGTACGGTATTGATTTCAGCATTGGAGACTAATGGTTCTGCTGGTAAAAAAAAGAAACAGAAGCCTTTGAGGTGCGGCTATTTTGCGATTCAATCTAGATGAGGAAAGCTGTTTCATGGCAAGTAGGTCTAAGGGACACATTAGTCATGGCTGGGTCGAGACAGCGGCAGCATCTTAGGAGGCCAGTATGGATTATTGTGTTGGTAACTTTTGTGAGCATATTTCTGATTACTGCCTATGTCTATCCTCCAACAAGTTTAGCTGCCTGCTATATCTTTTCTTCTGGTGGCTGTTCCATGTTTTATAGACAACCAGCATTTTATTCCAGAGAATTAAGTGATGATGAGACTGCATCTCAAGTTGTAATTAAGGAAATTCTGAACACTCCTATTCAATCAAAGAATCCAAAAATTGCCTTTATGTTCTTAACTCCAGGGACACTACCTTTTGAAAAGCTGTGGGATAAATTCTTTCAAGTAAGGATTTATTTCTCAGTTGTCAATTCATTTTATCTTTATTTGGCATTGATAGTGCATCTTCTTGTTTTTCATGGCCCTCATGTTTATTCTTTTTCGGTTTTGCTGGATATACTATTACAGTTTCAATAAAGAAATCACTGTAGATGCGGCTGCACTCCTTTTCCTTTATACTTATATAGCTTCCTTTGGCCATATGTTGAAAATTTTGTTTCATGCCTTTTGAAGATAATATCTCTATGCAATTCATTGCATGTTTATTTGGGAGTCTTGTACTTTATCCATGCATCAGCACACTGATTCTTGTCGGGCTGCTTCAAAATACCATTTAACAGAGTGAAATTATTTAACCATTCCACAGGACCATGAAGACAGGTTCACTGTTTATGTACATGCTTCTAGACAAAAGCCAAAGCATGTGAGTCATTATTTTGTTGGTCGAGACATTCACAGTGAGAAGGTATGTGGAAGTGGAAATGGTTATGTTATGCATTTTTTTCAACTCTGATGTATTAAATTATCCTGTTAAGCTATAGTTTAAAAAATTATCTTTCCTTTGTAATCATTTCAGAACTTTTCAAGGTGATGAGAGAATTATCATAATAGTCACGCTTGAGGAGTTCTCCTTTTAATCTGGCATTGCTGAAACAGTTTTGAATTGCTTCTTCTTCCAAAAACTTTTTCCACTGCTAATATCACATGGTTGCTTGACTATCACTAGCTAGTGCCTTTCATAAATGAAGCAAACAAATCCTTGCAGGTGGTTTGGGGGAAAATTTCCATGGTTGATGCTGAGAAGAGACTGTTGGCTCATGCACTCCTAGATCCTCATAACCAGCACTTTGTCTTGCTGTCTGATAGGTAATACGGATATGAGGTTTTTCTTCATATTCTATTTTTTCAGTTTTCATTATAGTAGTTACTAAGTACTCTCTTTTACATTTTCTGCTGCAGTTGTGTGCCACTACATAACTTTGACTATGTCTATAACTATTTGATATTCACTAATGTCAGCTTTATTGAAAGGTAAGTGAAAAGTATTTTGAGCTCAGAATCTTTTTCTCTTAGTTGGCAGATTAACTTCCTAAAATTTTTAAGTTTGGTTGTATAACTACGTGGCATAGCTATTATACTATTTTTGTTCCTGTGAAAAATTTACTTAAAAATACTATTTTTCCCCCATTTAATCCTCTCTTGCTCTCTTTTTCTCTCCACACACAGTTTCATTGATAATGGTCCACGTGGGAATGGTAGATATTCAGAGCATATGATGCCTGAAGTAGAAAAGACAGATTTCCGGAGGGGCTCACAGGTACCTTTTTCTTTCTGTGATAATATGGCCTGCATTTTGTTTAGAAAGGCTTTTGTACTTTGTTTCTCTGATGTTTACTTGTTTTTAATTATATTTGTACAACAGTGGTTCTCCATGAAGCGGCAGCATGCTATAATAATTATGGCAGACAGCCTTTATTACACAAAATTTAGGCTTTATTGTAAGGTAATCTGTCCATCCAAATTTATTTCTTATACTGCTATTCTTGGTGTAAGTTTTTATAAGTTGATTGATGGACAATATGCTTCATCTTAGAATCTTGCTTTTATTTGTTAGTTTTTGTTGCAAAGTTTTCATGACTAATGTTATTGTCACTTAATGGAGGTGTTCTTGTCAATGTCAATCACAGACATGCATGCCTGAACATTCAATCATGCATGAATGCTTTATTAGGTGATTGGAAACTTAAGGTGATGGTTTATTAACAAACATATTATGTCATTGTCTCAGCCAAACATGGATGGCCGCAATTGCTATGCAGATGAGCATTACTTACCGACCTTTTTCCATGTTGGTATATCAGACTTGGTTCTTCCTGCTTGTAATTAAACATCATTAGCTCTCTTTCATAATTTATTTCTGACTATTTTCTTCCCAATTGTTTTTGCCCTTCAGATGATTGATCCTGGTGGAATTGCAAACAGGTCAGTAACAAATGTTGATTGGTCTGAAGGAAAGTGGCATCCAAAAGCATACAGGGCCCAAGATATTACATACGAATTCCTAAAGAGTATTACAGTATGTTTTTTTATGTCAATTTCTCAGCTTCTGCTTTTTTCCTAATATTGCTTGTTACTTCTTATAGACTTAGAAACATTTTTCCTTTTGCAGGGCATTGATGTTGGCTTGCATGTGACAAGCGGTTCAGAGGTAAATGGCTCATTCTTTTCCATAACAGCTTAACACTATACATGGAAGGTTTTCTTTTTTCCTTTCTATTGTTTTCTTGAAAGAACTAAATATTCTATTCGTTCTCTTCATTTTTTCCATTTGCACTGCAGAATAAAGTGATTACAGAACCTTGCTTGTGGAATGGAGTGAAGAGACCCTGTTATTTATTTGCAAGGAAGTTTTACCCTGAAACTCTGGATAGACTGCTCTCTCTTTTCTCCAATTACACGACAGTTTAGGATTCTTCTTTGTCGTTACTATTCTTCGTTGGGACTTGGGACCTACCAAATTTAGCCCCCGTCCCTGCCTTGCTTCTCGTATATAATTCAGATTTCTGGGATGCGGATCAACCTTGAATTAGACTTTAGCAAGGTCTCAAGATGGCTCGGTCTTGGCTGCTCGGTGATTGTATTATGATTCTCTAATTCTCTTCATTGGTTGCATTCTTGATCTTAGCCGAAAGGCAATGACCCGAACAGAAATTTTGAATTTATGTTTTGGACTTCTCATCGAAGCTTTTGATGTTTGTGCTTCTACTTTTCAATCATTCAATTTGAATTCGACAAGTTTTGACAGATGATGACCGAAAGGA